AACTTTCAAATTTATTATACATACTTTTTAAATATTATTTATTTTACATAATTTTACAAATATTGTTACTTGTTTTTATTGTTTTATTTATTATTTTTTTTACACAAATCATTTTAATTATGAAAAATAAAAGTAGTAAGTTGGCGAAGTTTATTTTACTTAGTAATTATAGTTTTGAATCACGCTGTACTAGAAAAATAGAAGATTATTCTGAGTTTCATTTTGAATGAGGATAATTTCTATTATTTTTCAAGAACTTGACTCAGATTCCAAGTTATATCTTCGGATTGCTGCAGCTTGCAAATATGTATGAAGAGAAATATTTTACTAATATATTTTATAATTTTAGACAAATTATGAATTAGGTCATAGTTTTGAGTCGATTATTCGAAAACTTCTTGTAAATTTAAATATTTTAGCTAATAAAATTAAAGTTACTCAGAGAGATAACAGGATTGATATTATTGCTACGAATAAAGAAAATCTTATTTTAATTTAGTGTAAAAATATTGAAAAAAGACCCTGGGTCGATAGTGCAGTGGTTAGCACTCCGGGTCTCAATCACAAGGTCGCGGGTTCAAGTTCAAAGGGCGACAAAAACTCTGTCAGGACCACGATTGGAAATGATCTTTAGGGGGTTTCCATAAAAGAAAAAGAGCAAGATTCATACGAAAGAAAGCAGTCACTGGCATAACCACAGAGTCGGGGATAACCAGATAAGACGTAATCCGTCAACAAATGACGCTAACATTGAGGAAGCCCGGTTTCAGATTAATAGGACATTAGTAAATATTCAGACGATCTGGCTAGTGGGTCATGTGAAATTAGGGAACTGCAGATCTCAAAGTCGGGATCCTACACCGTGGAGCCAGGGACCCGGGACGTCATATGACAGACTTAATGGAGCATGAGCTATCTCACAAGTATGGTGAAGAATTAGCGGCCACCTGACGTCTATTGATCTCTGCAGAATGATGAATCTGGCCTTTAAGAAATGTGACAGATCCTAAAGGTGTCTAAGGACCTTCAGGATAGCAGAAAGAAGTAAAGTTAAAAAAATATATATATATTGAAAAATCTATTACTGTTTAATATGTAAAAGATTTTGAGTCAACTTTACGCCACTACCCAAAACCTTTAGAAATTATAGTTTATAATAGCGAAAGAATAAAAAATAAAAAATTTATAATATCAAAAGCTAATAGTTGGGTAAATATATCTAATGAAAATATCAGAATTTGTAATGAAAAAAATATAGTCCAAATAATTGAAGAATTTTTCAGTATTGAATCAGAAAAAAAAGATTATATTATTACAAATTTTAAAGCAGATGAATTGTTATTAGATTTTGGTATAATAGCTAAGAATGTTTCAATTAGAAGTATTATTTTAAAAAAACAACAATTTAAACCATATTAAATTTGTTTAGTACTGTACCCAAACAAATATTTTTTAGGTTTAAATCTCTATCTAGTCAGTTTTGACCAGATAGATTTTTTTAATATAAAATCAAAATATCTTCTATTGAAATTAAAAATACGGCAGAATTATTCAAACAAGAAATTCAAAAACAAGAAGCACAAGAAATTAAAGAAGCATCTGCTACTTCTTTATCTATCACTTCTTCTTCTGAATCTACTACTCCTTCTTTATTATCAAGTAATCAATCAAATAAAAAAAGAAAACGAGAAAAATATCTATATAATCATCTTACTAGTTTATTTTACGATAGATTATCAGAAGGAGAAAAAGAAGATATTAAAATTCTTGAAGTTGTTAATAAGTATTTGAAAACTAATAATCAATCAAAAAAGATATATGAAAATGAAAAATTTATTAAATTTAGCAAACTTCGAGTAGAAGCAATGGTTGGTCCATTAATTGAAAAAATTTCAAACGAACATGATAGAATTAAAGATTACAAATCAGATTATCAAGAAAAATATCTCATTGATAAATATAAGCAATATAGAGATATTATTTTAGCTACATTAGAAGTAACAAAACTATTAACTACTATTCAAGATGAAATTTGTATTAATTCTATCTAAAGTTATTTTACTTTTATTATCCTTTGGTTTATATTTTTGTTAAAATTTATAACTATTCAGTTTTAAACCAAATAGAATTTTATTCATATAATCAAAATGGAGCAAAAAAAGGTAAATATATTTTACTTTGTATTTTGTTTAGTTTCTTTATCAAAATATAAGTTATTGCTACGAGTTTTTGATATTAGGATTTTATTTGTGAATAGCAGAAGCTTGTATAGATTTTGATAACAAAATTCTGTGAAAAAAGTACAAATACCTAGTATTAGGAATAATGATTGAGCAATAACAACAATTTACTCATATTTTTTATTTTTTTTTAATTAACGACTAAACAAAAAGAAGATGAACTTAAATTTTTTCTTTTGCAACTTTTACGAGAAAATTCAATCGAATGCAATGCAATGAGAACAAGTTATTTTGTTGATTCGACATTTACTCCTATTGGTAATGCCAGAATTGATTTATTTGGTAATTATGAATCGATGAACTACATCATGCAGATTAAAAACAAAGTAGAAAAATATAAGGTTAGACCAAAAGATATTTGAGAATTTTCTGGAGTATTAACAAAACAAGCAGAAGGTACCATGAGATTTTTTGTTACAAATACTGAATATTTTCTGAATGCTCTTAATGAGACAAGTAATTTAAAATGACAATTATTCTTTGTTCTAAAGATAATGTGATTGAAAAAATTAAAACAACAAAATTGAAATTAGAAAACAATGAGTTGCAAAAAAATTCATTTGAATTAAATAATTTGGTAATTGAAAAGCTTAAAATTAATTCTAATGAATCTACTATATATTTGTATAGTATAAAAATTAATAGAAAATGTAAAATTGAAGCTATGAGGATTAAACGAAGTAATTATAAATATGAACTATATTAAATCTATTCAGTATAATTACCGAATAGAATTTAATTCTGTAATTTTTTTTAAAAATAGATAAAAAAATAAAAAAACATATCACTGAACTTGAAATTTCATTAAAAAAAAAATTAACAATTTTAATGATGATAAAGAATATATTTTAAAACAAGAATATTCAGATTAAAATTGAAAGTGAATATAATAATACCTTAAAAGATGTAAAAAATGAATATATAAACAAAATTGAACAAGAAACATTAAGACAATTAAAGAGAAAATATCCTAATGAAGTAGTTAGAAGAAAAAGAATTAAAAAAGAGCCAAAAAAATTATATTAATAGAAGCTATTGGTGTAGGAAAATCAATATTTAGCAAAAAATTTAAGGAATATTTAGAAGAAAAAGGATATAAAGTTTATCGACCAGTTGAAACATCTTTACTTCTTGATGATGAATTAAAACTCTTTTGTAAAGATCCAAAAAATAATGTTTTATTTTTTCAATATATGATTCTTAATTTTTACAAGAAGCAAGCTGCAGAAATTAATACAATTAATTCATACGATTTTGTAATACTTGATAGAACACATATTGATACCGAAGTTTTTACATTAATGAATACTGAAGATAAAGAAATTATTGATTTTTTAGAAAAGAAAGAAAAGAAATTAAAATAGAAAATATCAACAAAGTGCTTTATTTAAAGCCTACAAATGAAAATATGATTAAGAGACAATGAAAAAGAGATCAAGAAGCAGAAACTTATACTGATGAATATTTAATTAAATTATCTGATTTTTACGAAAAATTAATTGATAAAATTTATCCATCTTATAATAAAATTAAAAATAATTGTGCTATTGAGGAATATGAGAAGAATTATTTTGAAAATTTATTCAATGATCTTACCAATTAATATTTTTTTATTTTTTTTATTTTATCTATTTAATTAATTAAAAATTCTATTTAGTCAAAAAACCAAATAGAAATTTATTTACATAATTTATTATGTCAAATATTTTTTATATTTATGATGCTACTGATTCTTCTGCTTTATACAACAAATATTATTTATTATGATTATTTACAATTAATCCAGAAGGAAAAAGATTTATATTTAATATAAAGATTGAAAAAGTATTTTTTGATATTAAATTAATACAACAAAGTAAAAGTGAATTAGAATATGTTGATGAATTTAATCTATCAAGTTATAAAATTATTGAAAAACAACCATTTGATTCAACAGAAAAATATAAATTTATTTGTCTTTATTTTGAAAATTTAACAAAAAGAAAAGAAGTATTAAAGTTAATTAAAGAAAAATTGAAAAATTGATAAGATAAAAATTGAAAAAAATTTGATAAGTATTGGCATCAATATGATACTTATTTAGATAATAATACATGTCATTATCGAAAATTAGCATGTGAAAATAATTTTGAATTAGTTGAATAGTATCAAATCAACAAACAAATAACAAACAATATGGAAATAACATTTGACGATATAACAAAAATAAAATATACAGCACAAATTCCTCTAATATTACTATATTAGAATATAGAATGTAGTAGTATAAGAGGACCTGGATATTTTTCTTTTAGAGAAGAACAACAAGATTATGTATATATGATTCAAATAGATTTCTGTTTTCTATCAAATCCAATACCAATTAAACGTTTTTGTTTAACAGAAATTCTAGTTAATCAAATTTTATATGATAAAAAATATAGCAACAATCATTTTATTATTGTCCAATCACAAGAAGAACTAATTATAAAATTTTTTGAATTAATTAAAAAATATTTATCTTCTTTTGAGATTAGATTTAATACTGAAGGATTTGATTGAAATTTTGTATTAAAAAAAATACATATATTAAATATTGAAAAAGAAATTGGTCAAATATTAGAACAAGAAAATATAGTAAATAATATCAGAAAAACTATGATAAAGTAGTTGAAAAAGATTTTGATGAAAAGATGCAGAGAAAATTTATGGAATCGATAGTTCTAATCAAAACATAAAAGTAAATCCAAATGAAACAATAGTATGTGAATACTACCAAATTCCCAGAACAGTTTTTATTGATCTTTTAATTTGGGCAAAAAAAATTTTCCTACAGAGATAAAAAACACATTGGATGCCATATTAAAATATTGCAATTTATCAGGAAAAGTAGATTTGCCTTATATACCTGAATCATCAGAAAATTTATGTAGCATGTTTGTTTATATAAATGCTATTAAATTTAAGAATGATATTTAGCTATTAACAAGATTAGCAGAGCAATTATCAAATTTAACAAAGATTTTATTAGAAAAATGCAAAGAAGCTATAATAGTACAAGACCTTTTAATATTAGAAAAATATGCTGTAGAATTAGTATATTATTGTTCAGTCAATATAGCTTGTTTACATGAACTTATGATTAAACGAAATATAATTGGTGATTATATACAATTTGCAACACTAACTTGTATTACAATATCAAATGTATTCACAAATAGTATTGGTTGTTTGGTGAGAAATTTTTATGAAAGAAATGTAGCAAAATATGATATGTTAGTTTCTTCACGTAGAAAGGTAAAGTGATTGAAGATAAATATGGTAGTGGTCTAAATTTGAATCCAAACAAAAATCCAAATAACCGACCTGTTGCTAATATTGATTTTACGGCTTATTATCCAAATATTATAATCACAAATAATGTTTCTTTAGACACCAATATTGATATTGATTCACAAGAAGAAAATCTAAATGTGATAACAGATAATAGAATAATTTATAGTAAATTTAGAAAGCATAACAATGATGAAACTAAAATGAGATTGATGCTATTAATGTATAAAATGTTATTAGCTGAACATACTATAGCAAAAAAAAAAATGAATTATGCTAAAAACAAACAAGAATATTCTTATTATAATTCTTTACAAGATGCTTTAAAAACAATTGCAAATTCAATTTAT